AACTCTCTCTCTCTCTCTCTCTCTCTCTCTCTCTCTCTCTCTCTCTCTCTCTCTCTCTCTCTCTCTCTCTCTCTCTCTCTCTCTCTCTCTCTCTCTCTCTCTCTCTCTCTCTCTCTCTCTCTCTCTCTCTCTCTCTCTCTCTCTCTCTCTCACACACACACACACACACACACACACACACACACACGTCTCAGATTATACACCTGGATGTTGTAAGGCAAACCCATCTGTATTCATATTCAAGAAGAGGTGTGTGTGTCAATGCAAGTGTGTGTGTGTGTGTGTGTGTGAGAGAGAGAGAGAGAGAGAGAGAGAGAGAGAGAGAGAGAGAGAGAGAGAGAGAGAGAGAGAGAGAGAAGGGGAAATACCTTCTGTAAGAGCTGAGATCCTGAGTATTTTGAAGCTATTGATTTTATTTCACCACCAAACGCTGAAGCCCAGAGTTTCACCCTGTTGGGGAAAGAAGAACCCATGTAATCACTTACAACACATTACGCCACAATTACAGTATTAGCAATGATAGATTAGAAATAAAAGTTAACAAAAGTTAATGCAAGAACTGTTTGTAATCATTATAATGTATTATATGTGGCCATACGGGAGCATATGTTTGTTAAATTCACATTGTTCTCCATTATGTTTCTCATTTTCTGTATGTCAAAAAAGTTTCTATGTCATAAAAGCTTCGCATACTGTATTTCACTCTACACTATCTTAAGGAGCTATAGTATTTACCTGATCTGACTCTTCTAAATGGCTTTCATTGGTGTAATGTAATGTTGCGAGCTTGATAATATCATATTACTGTAAATTATTTGGGGTTTAAATAAAATCAGTTGACTTAGCTGTTATAACATGAAGCACATTTCTGCACACTTTACAGTTTTTTTTTTTACATCATATAACAGCAATTATTAGGGCTTCTTTCCAATTAAAGTCTCATATTTGGACTCTAGAGATAACTAGACCCTCACAATAACCATCACAAAGCATAGTTTAAACCTCTAGTATGTGCTCTTATTATAGATTAAATGTCATTATTACGGCTTACAAATTAAGTCTTAAATTCAGACTCTTTGAAATACCGAAATGATGGCTCTCTGCGAATTTACATATGGATTTACTTCTCTATATTTTGCATGCATTCATGAACAATACTAGGTGTATGTATTCTAAAAGCATCTTATAGAAATTTCTTGACCCTTTCTTGAAACACCACTAAAGCCCTCACACAGGATAGTTTTAACCTCTCTTGGTTTCTATATACATGCATATAAATTAAATGCAATTGTTCTGGCGTGTGCATGCATGCTCTTCTACTCACACTGATAAGGGGATCTCCGGTTGGGACCCCCGCACCCCCGGCGCCGTCCAGAACGCGCTCATCACACACAAGAGGAGGCAGTGCGCGTGCTTCCGAGGAATTCTCCGGTCCTGCTGCATCCTTCCTCCAAAATTTCTTACGCTGCAAAAGAACCGGCGGCTCGGGCAGCCTTTAGAACTCCCCCTCCCCTCGGTCTCTCTCCCCCGGATACAAAAACAGCACCGCGCGCCAATTCAGCAGCACATCTGCCCGCCTCAGCGCGCGAGCTGCCTCCGGAGCTTCAGTCTCTCCGCCCAGCTGTCACACACCCCAAGACCTCCTGCTCGTGCTCTTTGACATCGATCCTTTGCTTTTTATCCCTGCATTGATGGCATAGAGAACTAAATAGATATTTAAATGCTTATTCTTGTGCACGAGCCTTTCTCTTATAGCTGATTAAGACCAAATGAACTCGCGCGCTCTCACTACTGGCGCTGCTGATATATGATGAACGACACTTTCGGGTCAGTGCATGTACTAAAGGCAGAAGTTTAGGGAGACGAGAAGCGAGCAGAAAGTCATCAAGACAGTAAGTGAGGCTCGTGTAAATCTAGGGAAGGAGATCCAGTGCGGTTTCCCCCACGCGAGCGCGCTCACGAGAGAAGCTGATGCGAAACTTCCCCTCGGCAACGCGCATTCCTCCGTTTTGGGGATGCTTTTGCTCTGGTGTCAAGCGGTGATAGAGATTACGTGAATCAGTATCATATTAGAGTTTTTTATATTCATATTTCATATTCACATAGAATACTAATTTACATAACAGCACTGTATGATTTGCATATTGCGGTTTTTAACTATTTTGTGTATTTCACCCAGGCAAGTTGTCACAAGCTGCTATATCTCCGTAACTGTGATTTGAGTCCAGTTCTATAAATAATAGTTTTTGGTTTCAAACAACTAGTTCCATTAGGAGAATTAGCCTATTTCTGTCCTCAAAATGCATTTGAGTATTTTCATTTACTGACAATATAATTCTGTATTTTGCTGTTTTCATTTATATACACATTTAATAAAAACATCAATACGCTCATTGATATACAGATTCAGCTAGATGTATTATGACGGCTCCTCATCAAAAGATGCCATAAAAGAGCAGATAGTCGTCAAAGAAAGTAAGTGAGTTAGATTTATGACCAGCCACTACTATAGCACTGACCTCTCCAGTCTGATGCTTAACAATGGCATCCAGGAGTTAATTGCTATTCTCTCATCTGTTTTTTTCTTCCTCTAATTATCATGAGCACATAAACGATGAGGTGCATTTGCGTGTGTGTGTGGTAAGGGTTCTGATGGATGTCTTCACACGGCCTGCGTCTCTGTGCAGTCATGATTAGCTGGTAAATGCATCATACATCACAGACTCGGCTAAACAGCGGCGACTGAAGCTGAAGAACACAAGCCATACTGTACTACTGCAATGCTGTTACACCGCGCAAAACTCTAAATGACATTCATAAACTTTTACAAAAAAGGAATTCTGGAACAAATCGCCTACCCTGCCTTCATGTATATTAAAATGCACATCCAGAGATATAAGTCTTACAGGGTCCTTCTTTAATCAGAACGACAAAAACAATAAGATTAAGAAGTTGTAGGTCTTTCAGGGACAGAAGCAATAGTTTTAACAACTCTTGAAGCAAATCCGGTTAGTCTGTGCTGGAGTTCACTCTTGTCTATTTTAATGCACGGCACCAAACACACAGTAATCTCTGTCTCGTCTTAATGGAAGTTAAAACTCTTAGCAGGTCAAATATAGTACTGGGTAAATGTGACATCTGGCACTGAAGGTGCTGGGAATCACACTTCTCAGCTTATCACAGAATATACAACACTGTATACATGGATAGAGATGCCTAGGAGCAAAAGCAAAACAAAAAAACTGATAAGGCCTCAACGCATTGACACATGGTGAATTCTTGTAAATTAGACGACTTTTGCCATTCATTTCAACACTTTACTGTTTTAATATCTCAAATTCAATGCAAACATTAACCTTTAGCATATTTTGAGCAGTTCACTTCATAATTTCAGTCCAGAAAAGTAGCCTACAAAACTGCACATATTAAAGGGATAATTCACCCAAAAACACAGTACAGCACTTCCGGGTTCTACGTCAACGCTTATTATTGGCCAGCTCCTGCATCAGCATCACACGCATGTGTAGTGGTGCTCAGCGTCAGCCAATAATTAGCCGGCATTGGCGTAGAACGCTGAAGCGCTGCACTGCGGTTACTACTCGAATAGAGGAGACCTGACACATGCAGAAGAGAAGAAATTGTTGAATAAAGTCGTTATTTTAGGGTTTGTTTTGCGCACAAAAAGTATTCTCGTCGCTTCATAACATTACATTTGAACCACTGTAGTCACATATTATAGCGATGTCTTTACTACCTTTCTGGGCCTTGAAAGTTGCAATGACGTTGATGTCTACTGTAAAAAATGATCGTGATTTTAACGGTAAAAGACGTAAAAATGCTACAGTGAAAAACCGTTAATTGGTTAATAGAAAGTTTCCTTACTATATACGGTAAATAACTGTGATAGATCTAACGGTACATTTAATGTAATTTTACTGTAAAATACCGTTAAATTGACAGTTTTTGAAAGTGAAAAAGAACAACTCATTGTATAATTTACAGTGAAAAAACGTAAATTTACATTACCACAATTCCTTGCGTGACACTTCACATTTGATGTATTTTTGTTGAAATAACTATGTTTCTTCTTAGTTCTCTTAGTTCTTATCAGTTATATACATTAGAGTTTTATGTTACATTTAATGTTGTTAAATTAATGTTTATTGCATTTTTAAAATTTCATGTGTTACCATGATGCTGTTTAGTGTTTGTGTGAATGACACTGTGCAGCTTCTATATATTAGCACTAACTTTCTCGTGGAAGAGTTGCTTGTGATGAGCTTTGATTGATCATGTGACTTTCATCACTGCTGTGATGATTGTTGGTTGTCAGTGTATTACAATGGTACAAAACAGATATTAATACAGAAATAGGTTGGAAAATTAACATTATATCAGATAATGAAATACGGTTTATTACTGTAAATTTTAAGTTAAGTCTGTAAAACCAATAACGTCTGTACCATATTTTTGACGGTAAAGTTCTGGCAACCACAGCTGCCGGTATTTTACCGTAAAAATGGCATTTTATTTTTTACAGTGTATGGAGGGATCAGAAAGCTCTCGGATTTCATCAAAAATATCTTAATTTGTGTTTCGAAGATGAACGAAGGTCTTACGGGTTTGGAACACATGAGGGTGAACAATTAATGAAAAAAATTCTATTTTGGGGAGAAATTTTAACCCTTTAATAACATGACGCTGTTTGCCCCTGCTGGTAGATACTGGAACGACACCTCGAGTATAGCTGTTCATTCTATACTCTGCATATACTATAAATATATTTTGTTTAATTTAACGCCTATATTTTAAATATACACTGTATATAGCAAACAGCCACAAAGCTGTGATTCTGAATCTTTGCATTTTCGTTATTCTAAAAGGAAAAACAGAAAATGTAGTATTTTTTTGTGACACTCCTACTGTAATCAAGGGAAGAGCTGGATCAGGGATCACACACCCAGGAGGACTTATTGTGTCTTAAGGATCTTTGGGATTTTTCTTCTTACAGCACCTAATCTGAATAAGAACTTTTTTTGTGTGTGTGTGTCGCCGACTTGAAGGTGCAGACAGAAGACGTGTGATGCAATGGTGCATGTCTGATGTACGTGAATGAACCAGCAGAGAAGAATATAGCTTGAAACTGACTGAAAAACTACTTTTTGTCTGTATTTTTATCAGACTTGGGGAGATGGACTCTTTCCCAGAATTCCTGAATGGCTCATCTATCCATGATGGCTCTGGTGCAAAGGTGCCCCTGCCGTGGGCCGGATTCCTCACGCTGTCCCTCCTCATGGCCGTGTTCTCCATCACATCTGTCGTGTTGAACGCTACAGTGATAGTCGTCACCCTCCGGCACAAACAGCTGCGACAGCCACTGAATTTTGCCCTGGTCAACCTCGCTGTGGCCGACCTGGGCATCACACTAACAGGAAGTGTGCCATATGTGGTGACCAACGCTGTGGGCTACTACATCATGGGACGGGTCGGTTGTGTATTGGAGGGATTTTGTGTCGCATTATTTGGTAAGTCTGTTGAGTTCATTCAAACACTAAATAATTATTTTAAACTGTATAATGTAAACTGCACCCCTGATGGGCTTCCAGACACTGAAAAAGCAACATTAAAAGAACACAAAAAAATGCTGGGTTGTTTCAACCCAAAGTTAGGTCAAATATGGACAAACCCAAATGTTGGGTTAAAAATCTAATTAAAAAATGTACAGTTGAAAGTGAAAGTTGAAGTTGGGTTAAAATGTTAAATTACATTTTTAACCCAACATTTGGGTTTGTCCATATTTTACCCAAATTTGGGTTGAAACAACCCAGCATTTTTAGAGTGAAAATATGACTTTATTCAAATTCAATTAGATATGTCCTGATTTAGCCTCAAAACCCAAATATTATTATTCTGTCAAATATTTTATATTTAGTGTTGAGAAAGCAAGGATCTCTATTATTAGGCTTATATTTTTGCGCATTTGAATTTTGGGAATTTGCTCATATTAGTGAATTTTGGCCTCTATCTATTTGAATGAAGCTGCTCTATTTCTCAAAATATTGTGTAAACATCATGAGCATGATCAGTGTTGGGTAAGTTATTGTAAAAAAGTAATGAATTATACTAATCATCAACAGTGTGATTAGATTAATGTACTAATTACTCTCTCTAAAGAGTATTGGATTACTTATTACTAATTACTTTCTAAATCCCAGATCAACCTCGAGTTGAACAATACAAGGACAGACACAGAACTGCACTTTTGATTCTTTCAAATAAACAATACAATTGCATAAATAATCCTTGAACTGACCAAAGTGTGTAAAGGGAGTTTACAAAGTGTTTACATTCAGAAAAAACATTTTAACATAAAATGTTACTATTGTTTTATATTGTTAGTCTATACAGTATTTAATACAATTACATCAGAATTCACTGTAATTCAATTACAGAAAAATGAAGAGTAATCCCTTACTTTACTTTTCAAGGGAAAAGTAATTAAATTACAGTAATTAGATTACTTAGTCATTAATTACACCCAACACTGAGCATGATCAGCCGACAGCCACAGATGTTAACCTTTAAAATGTGAACTTTATCTCAACTCTAATGCCGTCTTGTTCCTGTGTTGACTGCACAGGTATAACAGCGCTGTGCACAGTGGCCCTGATAGCTGTGGAACGGCTGTTTGTAGTGTGCAAGCCTCTGGGTACCATCACATTCCAGAGCAAGCACGCTGCCGGGGGGCTGGCGTTATCCTGGCTCTGGTCTCTCATCTGGAATACTCCTCCTCTCTTTGGCTGGGGAAGCTACCAGCTGGAGGGAGTCGGCACCTCATGTGGACCCGACTGGCAGAGTCGAGATTTCAAAAACATGTCTTACATCATCTGTTACTTCTCACTCTGCTTCGCTGTGCCATTTGTCATCATTGTGGTGTCATATTCATGGCTGCTCTACACGCTAAGACAAGTATAACTTTGTCCTTTTGACATTTTTGCTTTTTTTATGTTATCTTCACTGAGCCGGTGATGTTAAGTTTGTTGTTTGCACTATACATTTCATAATAACATCAAGTTTGTTTATGGAAGCCTACCCGTCACATAAGAAAAAATGTAAATCATTAATTAAGTCATAATTTATGTTTAGTAAATTATAATTAAGACATAAAAAATGATGAGAATAATGAAATTATGACATACTTTATGACATTTTGCTCCATGTGACGTCTGTACATATTGTATTTTTCCATCATTTTCATCATGGTATATTTCTTTCACTTGTTTGCATACTTGAATTATCAGTAACTTGAATTGATATTTTAGTATATCGAAGTTTAATGTTTTGATATTGTAGGCTATAATAAGTTTTGGTATTTTTTTAATGTTTCCTTATTTGCAGATTAATACATATTAAATGTCTGCACTAATCTTTCTTATTGACTAGTGGTGGCTAGAATAAATAATAAACATGGTTCTTCGATCAGTACCTTTACATTTTAGTACTTAAAGTTACCATGAAATCAAAACTGACAATTTTTTTTAAAATTCATGTTCTTGTAATCTTTATTTTCCCCTCTTGCAGTGACATCTTTTCTCTTCTCTGATGCTGTTTACCGGCACAAGGGCAACCTGTCACTCACATGACATCACAGCAATAGCAAACGACAACCATACAATTAATTCCTCATGGACCAAATCAAGCCCCGCCTAATATTCTTTTTTGTTCAAGAACCCTTTTTACTCAGATATACATCACAACTTTATTTTCATGCTGACTTTAAGTACATTCAAAAAACAAGTGTTTTTGTACTTTAACTCTCAGTAAAATTAAAGTGACAAACTTTTACTGGAGTGATATTTTATTAGGGTATCTGTACTTTTATTCAAGTATTTCATTTGTGTGTTTGGTCCTGTTTGTTTGACAGGTAGCTAAGGTAGGTGGAGGTGCGGCTGCGAGGGCAGAGGCTAAGGTGGCGCGGATGGTGGTGATGATGGTGTTGGCGTTCCTTGTGAGCTGGCTACCGTATGCTACTCTGGCTCTAATGGTTATCTTCAACCCTGATGTCCAGTTGCCTGTGCTGGTGAAGGTGGTACCCATATACATGGCTAAGAGCAGCACTGTATACAACCCTATGATCTACATATACATGAACAAACAGGTGAGTGAACCAGATGCAGATCGATCATGTTCATCAGTCTGATTTGCCTAACACAAAAGACATTAATGGAGTTATTGTCTCCCAAAAGAAAGAACCGATGCACAAGCCTATGTAGTTTGTTACAAATTTACATAATATCAGTCTATGCCGGCCCTCATTGGCTGCCTGCGATACAATGTCGACTTTGTCCTGCCCTCAAACATTGTAGTTGAAGCTGAGACTGGAAGAGTTTAGTTTGTGTTGTCGACATGTTAAGATGATGCCGTTTTCAGCGCTATAGAAGCAAATAATGAGGAACCAAAAGAATGAGAATGATCCAAAGAATGAGGACTCCGGGTCGAATTAATACGGTAAAACCATCGTTACTGTTCGTAACACTGTGTAACAAGCCCAGAGGAAGCCTCCGCCGACCAATCACAACAGACTGGGCCATCTGACCAATCAGAGTAGTGTATAGGCTTTCAGAAAGGAGGGGTTTAGTATGGAAGCTTGTTTCCGCCACTGAATAAAAAAATAAAAAATAAATAATTGCGACTTTTTATCTCACAATTGCGAGATATGAAGTCAGAATTGTGAGAAATAAAGTCGCAATTGCGAGATATAAAGTCGCAATTCTGAGAAATAAAGTCGCAATTGCGAGATATAAAGTCGCAATTATGAGAAATAGTCGCAATTGCGAGAAAAAAAGACAGAATTGCGACTTTTTTTCTCAGAATTGTGAGATATAAACTCGCAATTGCGAGTTATCAGGCCAATTCTAAGGGGGGAAAAAGACTAACTTTTTCCCCCTCAGAATAGTTTATATCTCACAATTTTGAGTTTACAACACGCAATTTCGACTTTATATCACGCAATTCTGACTTTATAACACGCAATTGCGACTTTATATCAATTCGGACTTTATATCTTGCAATTCTGACTTTATAACACGCAATTGTGACTTTATTTCATGCAATTCTGACTTTATAACACGCAATTCTGACTTTATTTCATGCAATTCTGACTTTACAACACGCAATTGCGATTTTATATCACGCAATTCTGACTTTATAACACGCAATTGCGATTTTATATCACGCAATTCTGACTTTATATCTCGCAATTCTGAGAAATAAAGTCAGAGTTGCGAGATGTAAAATCGCAATTGTGAGAAAAAAAGTCAGAATTGTGAGATAAAAAGTCGCAATTACCTTTTTTATTTTTCATTCTGTGGCGGAAACAAGCTTCCATAGATTAGAGAGAGTGAATCCTTATTCAAACCGTTTCAGACACTGTGAGAGAAGAGGTGATGCTGTAATGTTTATTATGAGAAAATAAAAATAAAAAATTAATTGGACTTCAAAAAAGGCTTCAAGTTTGGATATTTAATTTTTTTTTGTTGTAATAAGGTTCTACAATGCCACACAGCTAGTGTTGTTTATCAGTTTTAAGTAGTACGGTCTGTTTAAAAATGATAACGTTTTTTTCTAGTTCCAGAGGTATGCAATACCACTTCTGATGTGTGGAAAGGATCCCTGGCCTTCAGAGGACGATGCATCCGAGGTTCAGACCGTCGTGTCACCATTGAACAACAAAATCAGCCCAGAGTGACTTACCATTCACTACAGTCTGTTAGTGCATGATAAATGTGCTTCTCTGCTTAAAGAGAGATGATTTAATGAACACTGAAGGGTGGGTATTTAAGGCCAATAGTTTTTCATTCACATCTTGATTCATTACTTGCAAATGCTATTCAGAACTAGCTAGGGACATTTTCATTCTAGACAGTATTTGATTGGACAAAAATGTGTATCTCTTGAGTGCAAGATAAGCCAACAGTTATTTTTGTCTCTTTTTTTTTTTACCAGAAGACATGTTATGCTCTAAAAGTTCACTTTTGTCAACATTTAGGTTGTATACTAGCTTATAGATGACTTCAGAGCAAAATGTTCTTTTAAACTTTTTATTCATCAAAGAATCCTGAAAAAAGAATTAAGCAACTGTTTTCAACATTGATAAGAAATGTTTCTTGAGCAGCAAATCAGCATATCAGAATGATTTCTGAAGGATCATGTGACACTGAAGACTGGAGTAATGGTGCTGAAAATTCAGCTTTGATCACAGGAATAAATTACATTTGAAAATATATTACAATAGAAAACATCTATTTTAAATTGTAATAATATTTCACAATATTACTGTATTTTTGATCAAATAAACGCAGCCTTGGTGAGCAGAAGAGACTTCTTTCAAAAACATTAAAAAATGTCACTGACCTAAACTTCTGAACGCAAGTGTAACTACAAATATTGAAGTTCACTATTATTCTAAAACCCTTGAAGAGTTAAGTTCACCCACAAATGAAAATTCGGGAAAAAAGCTTTCTGTGCTTCCATTGACAGCTACGCAACAACCACTTTGATGCTTCAAAATGTTCATAAAGAGATCATAAAACGAATTCATATTAATTGAGTGGTTTAGTTCAAATTTTCTGAAGAGACTCGATCGCTTTATATGATGAACAGATTTAATTTAGGCTTTTATTCACGTATTAACAAATAAGCGTCAAAGTGGTGTAAATGGAGGGACAGAAAACTCTCAGATTTCATCAAAAAGATCTTCATTTGTGTTCTGAAGATGAAGGAAAGTCTTACAGGTTTGGAAAGACATGAGGGTGAGTAATTAATGACAGAATTTTCATATTTGGGTGAACTATCCCTTTAAATTAGTCAAGAACACTACATCATCTGATGGTCATCTAGATCCCAAAGCCTCAGATGAATTTTGCACAATAATCTGATTAAATCTTTAATACTTTCCAATTAAAGTAGCCTTGACCCATAGATCTACTGAGGGACACGTTTATTAGCACTGAAGTCTTTCCGTAGCTGTACAGAAGTCTTATATTACGAATTGCAGTTCAATGTTCTTGTACAAATAAGTGAGACAGTTGTTTGTTTATTCATTAAGTTTATTCTGTATTAATCATTAGAAAATAAAATTTCAATATTGATTAAAATCAAGTCCAGGCCAAAATAAATAGGAAAATTACAAAAAAATGCATCAATACAAAACCTAGAGGGATATAATAAGTCATCTGCTACGAAGAGAAAACCCTTTTTTTTCTTTTTCTTCATGGAATAAAAACCATAACAGAGCAAAGATAAAGACTTTCAAATGGAGAACATCACCACGCATCTTTCCGTTACATATGTACATATGTTACACTATAATCTTAAGTTTCCTTACAGCATTAATAAGAAAAAGTATATAATAGTTTAGCAACAACTCTAGATGAAAATGTGATAATCAACAGAAGTGGCTCTGAAAACTTGTACTGTATAATACTTTTTTCCATTTTTTCGTTAACATATCAGCGTTAACAATACAGAGGAGTGCCCCCCCCCCCCCCCCCCCCCTTTCTTCTGTTTGTCCCAGCATTGAAAGGTGAAATGTAAATGACATATAGATTTCACTAAACCGTACGCACAGTCACAGAAAAAGAGTACAAAATTCGCCCACCTTGATACACAAAATATGAATAGAAAACAGGGAAAACAAATTGCACGTTACAGTAATTTGTGCAAAGACGAACAGCAATGTGCTAATAGTAAAATCCCATTGGTATATTAAGAAACCAAATTTTTTCTTTCTATTCAGGAGTCCCTGACACGAGGTAAAAGTTAAATCTTTAGTTTAATACGTTTTTTTTCTTTGTTTATTAAAAATAATGCATATTTTATTGTCCTTACCAGTAATTGCTACGAATAGTACAATGTGCCATGAATGTGCATTGGTCTGTTTACAAGATACAGTATAATCGACATGAAGACCAGAACACAATGTTTCATTATTTTTTTTCTCCCCGCACGGATCATTTCAGCCCTTTCAGATGTGCACACGCAGTGTTTCATGACAGTATTCGGTTGACTGAAAAGCACAGAACTCTTTCAAAACACAAGAGATCAATAACACTCAAGAACAACAATTTCCAACAAACCCCACGTTTCCCTTTATTTAAGCTGCAGTGAAGCTTAACACTTCACAGTGCAGTCAAACTTTTTCTTCTTCTTTATTTTTGCCCATAGTGCTCAGCAGTAATTTGCCTGTTGGAAGTGACAAAAGGTCAACTGAATTGATGTGATCCCATGTTGAGGCCTAAGGACAGAGATTTACAACACCTTAAAGGCAAAGACACTCACAAAAAGGACGCTTCAAATGCTGATATGTTTCCCCTGCTCTAAAAGAGGTATTTCCAGAAGCCAGAGCTGAAGTGAAAGGTGAAAAGAAAGAAAAACAAAAGCAAAAGTGGGGGAAAGGGGGTCAAGTATTGCTTAACCAGATCCTTGCCTTGCTTAAAGGGATAGTGCACCCAAAAATGAAAATTCTGTCATTAGATACTCACTCTTATGTCATGCTTTTTTCCCATCCAAATATTTTTTTTTTCAAGCATCAGTTGTGTGTTGTGCACACAGTTGTGTGATGCTTTTTGAGTCGCCCACGGCTAAAAATAACTATTGTTCTTAAATGTTTAATAACTTTTGAACCGCTAATTCAATCTGTATGCTTTTCAGTGGTATCACGTTTCGTCTGATTAGCATTGATTCGCCAAAGAAACCCATTTGGTTTGTTCCTCTGAGTCAAACAGGAACGACTGTTGATGCTTAGTCCCACCCCCAAGCCCAGATTGGTTGAAACTGTCATCTACTCGACCAATAAACATAGTTTTGGTCTTTTGAACCACCAATCAGAATCCTAAATCATTTGCATTGTTTGTATTTTTGTTGCACAAGACAATTTTCACAACTGATTTGACAACTTGCTGCACTATTTGCGTTTGTTATTCATGTTCAGATTGAATATATAGTCACTTTTGCTTCAGTGTTTTGTTATTGTTTAACTATGATTCTATTGATTTTATCATCGTCAGTAAATAAAACCAAAATTTTGCTGCCGTTTTTCTTATTTCTAGTTCATTTATATATTCTCAGACAAAATAAATGTAAACTTCGAAAAACTTGATGCCGACTGCTAGAATGGGTTAGAAAAACAAAGAAAAGTCAGGTGCCTCAAACATGTTCTAGGTCTTTAAGAGTTTTAGGGCGTTTCAGACCTGTAGATTGTTTGCTTTGTTCTGAAACAGGCATTCAAATGGTTACTATTGTTATTCTTCTTGGTTTGATTCGCTTTCACAAGGCAACATTTCTAAACAGACCAAAATTTGTTAATACATGCGAGTAAACTGTCCTCTCATTGGTCAGATTGCCCCCGGCTTCACTAATTTGCGATTGGCTCTTTAATTTAGAAGGCGGGACTAATTCTCATGAGTGGGCCGTCTCTGTATATCTAAAGTCTTTGATTTTAAGAGCATGAATCAAGGCTTCATCTGTATTTGGACAGTTCTGAAATATGATCATCTGACTAAATTTCAATTAGGCATTTCATTTAGTCTTTTCCCCCACAGAGAAATGCTATATATAACTTAAGCTTGAAAATGATCCTTGTGTTCAACGGGGGGAAAAAACAGCAGTTTTGATGACATGACGGTGACTGTGAGTTGAATACAGGATTTTCATTTTAGCCTGAACTGTTCCTTTAAGGATGCATGATGCGAACATGCACTTCAAACAACCCAAAACTCCCCCATAATCATATTTTGTCATCATAATCATCTTCATTAACATTATTATAAAACTAAAGGAAGATTTCAGTATTCAAAACACCTAAATACATTGGTGGAAACGAGTCGCTGATCTGAAACCGCTGATCTTGCGCGATTTCGAGATCAGCTATAGATCAGCCAGTGGCAGCAGGCTTTTCCAAGTGGCAGCATGTTCCTGGTGAGGGTCGTACAGTTTAATTGCAGACTAATTAAGCAGCATCGTTAATGCACAAAGCATTTACCATTGCACCTTCCTGTGCACCTCCCCTGCACAAAATATGCAACGAACCCTTAAAATGAGACGGACTCCTTCAATACACACAAACAAGAGCACGATTAAGACACGATTCTGTAAGCCCTACTGAATTCCCCATAAAGAAGGTCAACGTTCATGACCCATACTGCATACCGTAGATTTTAAGGGAACACTACGTCGGTTACGCTTATGAAAACGGACACTGAGAAAACGACTTGCATATCTTGTGCGGGTGTGTCACAGACGTAATAACCTCATATAAAATTGGCTTTTTTGTTCTATACTTCTCACAAACAAGTATGAATGCATATGAGCAAAGGATAAAGGCAAAGAATTTAATAAAGTACAGTACCTATTAAAATAACACCAAATTTAGTCTTTTTCGTAATGCAATAACATCGAATAATATTGCTGCTTTTTTTTTTGTACAGTACATAATTACAAAATATAGAATGTCTCTTTACAAAGTTTTCTTTTGCTTTATATTACAAGTCATTTACAGCAAATTATGAAATATCAAACAGGCTATCCTAAATTAAAAAAATAACCTGTCTGCTAGTGCATTCAACACAAATGCTGAAATCCTCTTGAAATCCACAAACCTGCATGATATCCTTATTGTAAACCAGTGTTGTAGAATTAGCGTTTGTTCTCTAAAATATGCCTTAAACGTTACTAAAATAATCATACGGGGCGAGTCGGAACTACAGCCTTAGTGGAGGGATATGCCATACTTGCTTGCATTGAGCTTGCAACGTGCTTGATATGCAAA